TTGAAATATGACTTATTTTTTATTGCGAGACGAATGGGTTTTAGTCGAAACTGTGTATAATGTTGAGGGAGTATAGACAGATATGCAGATATCTTTGAAAATGAGATCGTAAAGATAACATTCCTTTCTCTCGCATTTCTGTGGGATTAGATTTTAAGTTACTGTTGTCTGCGAACTATTTGGCGCTGCGACGCGTGAGGCGTAAGGATATTCGGGCGTTTCCGGCGGATTCGCGAGCGTGCGGCGGAATCGTCACTTGAGATCGAGCGACGGTGCGGTCAAGAGCAAATAAAGAGTCTTGTTTTTTCCTGATTAAACCATCTCGTACTGAATCATATTTCCCATCTACAACGGGGAGTCTACATCTGGGGGCTCGCAGCCGGGATCGAGATTAGTGTTTGAAGTCAGTGAAGGATCAAGACGAGTGAGGAAGCGAAGACGAAAAGATGTCGGACGACGAAGGACGAAACAACGACGATGGCAACACGCTGCAGGTCGACATGATGACGATAGCCCAGCTAAAAGACGAGCTTAGAGGACGCAAGCTAAAGGTGACGGGCAACAAAGTCGATCTTGTGGCGCGATTGAAGGCGGCTCTAGTTCTGGAAAATCAACATGAAGACGATGACGATGATGAGTCCAGCGACGAGAGCGACGACGAAATGCAACGAGACGACGTCGACGCTAATGGCGCCGAAAGAAACGAAGCACGTAGACGAACGAAATTTGTGCCAACCTTCAAAGACGTGGAAGAATCAGTCGATACTTTTAGTGGGGACGACGGTAAAAATGTAAAGGTGTGGATCAAGGAATTCGAGGATCTAACGAAGATATGCGAGTGGAACACGATGCAGAAGACGATATACGCGAGAAGATTGCTACGAGGCTCTGCGCGATTGTTTGTGAAGTCAGGCAATCATGGAACGTCGTGGAAGACCATGAAGGGCGCGCTAAAGACGGAATTTGCGCCGAAGGTGGACAGTCGCACGATACATAAAGAACTGCAACGAAGAAAGAAGAAAACAAACGAATCCTATCACGAGTATTGCTATAAGATGATGGAAATAGCGGAACGAGCGGACGTCGAAATAAAGGCGGTTATCCAATATATCATTGACGGTATTGACGACGAAGGATATCGTAAGTCTATTCTGTACGGTGCTAAAACGATTCGTGAGTTAAAAGACAAATTCGATACGTATGTAGAATTACGCGATAAGACGGGCGAAAATAAAAGACACGAGAATAAAAAGAAGCTGTCGGTAAACAAAGACGCGGAAAATAAAGACGCGAAGCGAGACGCGAAACGTTGTTTTAATTGCGGTGAAGTCGATCATTTAAGTGCGGCATGCCCTTCGAAAGATCAAGGTACGAAGTGTTTCGGGTGCAATAAATATGGTCACATAGCGTCGAAATGCCCGGAAAGCGCAAACACGAAAGAAAAGAAAAGTTGTAACGTTGTACAGTCCGATTCCGGAAAATGCCGCAAAGA